AAATTGTCGACTTTAGAAAGAGGAGAAATAATGGAGAGTGGAAGAAAACGTAAGGAACTGAGGGAGCCTAGGAAGACGTCGTCCCTGACTTTGAAAGAGGGTGGCAGGGAGTAAGGGGTGAGTTCGCTGTGGGGACTAGAAGCGAGGGTATGGGGGCGGTAGCGGGGATGAGGGGTTGAATCAGCGCGGGGGTGTATGGGGGAATTAGTAGATGGCCGTGGACAATGTGGGGGATACTTTCTCATATCAAGTATGGCCGCCATCGTGGCACGATGGCCAAAACAATAGTAAGTAGAGAGACCAGTTAGGCAGTCCGTCGTTTCTCTTTCGACCAATTCTTTTCGTTCACGTTATTTTTTTCTACGTTCCCACCCCCCGCACCACTCCTCCTCGCTGTTGTTCTTGTTGTTGAGAATTTTTCGACCTCTCCGTTCACGTAAAAACGGTACGTTTTTACAAGTTTCCCATTGTTTTTTTTCTCTCGTGTTTCAGTGCGCAGTGAATAAAGTGATGTTATCGTCGTTATCGTCGCCGTTATCAGTCGCGAGCTCGTGTCTCATTCAATGAAAACGATTCGTATCATCGTATCACGATATTTGTCAAATGGATAATGACAAAAATCCAGCCAATTGTGAATACTCCGGATTCCTTCACGTGGGCAAGCGGCTGCTGATTGCGGTAAGTGTTGAACGAAGACGTCATAAAATTCTAGTGAAATCCACGTATCTCTCTAATTGATCGTTACGAAACAATCATCATAATACAATAACGTTCAGATTTTTTAACCCTTATCGAGACGATACGATCTCTTTTATCCATCGGTTCGAAGCATTATTGAACGACCGCTACGTACCAGGTAGGCGATTATTTCACACGGGAAAATAAACTTGGTTCGCGGTTAACAATGTAGAGGCAATTTACTTTGTGCACATGTCCGCGCTCGACCTTCGGAAATTGCGCAAACAATTTTCCTCGAGCGATTAAATCGAGAATTCCAGGAACGCGTTCGAATTGCTCCCACTGAGATTATCGATGAGCAAAAGGAAAAATCCTATGGAATTCCTAAAACGACGTTACACCGTTGCCCATTCGAGGAAGACTACGAGACCGCCCGATATCCGCCGACGTCTTTTGCATGCGAATACTCCACGTGGTTCATCTGACGACACGCATTGCGCAGATCCAACTTTCTGCGATCCCCACCTTTATGTGAATCGCACCTTTTACCATAGCGATTTCAGGTACGAATGTAACGCGTCTGCCTCGAACGAGTTTAACCTTTTTCCAACGAAATTCCCCCCTGGACTTACAAAAAAAAAATCGCACGATCGAACGGCGTCCTTCTTCGATCTCCTACGCAAATTTTTTAACATGTCACGAAATACGTAAAAAATTTCAACGACGTCAATCGTATTTAATCCGTGCGTCAATGAAAAAAAAAAATAATTCAGATATGCGAGTATTCTTGTTGAAATTTTATTTTGCTTTTAAAATATTCTCCAATCAA